TTTTTTATAATGGCAAACAAGTATTTTGCCATTCTTTTTTTAAATTTACATTAAAAATTTTCTATTACACTTATTTTGTGTTGTGTCGTGTTGTGTGTTTATGTGTATGTGTGTATGCACAGCACACATGTGGAGGTCAAAGAATACTTGTAGGGGTCAGTTCTCTTCTTCCACCATGTGGTGCTAGGGATCAAACTCAGGCTTGGCAAATACCTTTACCTGGAAATGCAGATTCTTAATGAAATGGCCAGTGGTCTGAGGACATCAAGTATGAGAAGCTCATTGTACACAACGCTGAACAGAAAGGGAGCCCAAGAAGGTAACAGCGTTATTCTTACTTGAACCCCCTTCCTTCCACACTCACCAAAGTGCCTTTTCCTTCTCCTTTCCCTACCATAAGAAAATAACATCACTGACCCAAATCACAAGCCAGAAGTCTCCAACACTGGCCTCACCCTGCCTCAGCCGCTTGCATCTTATCTGTGTGTTCTGCACAGCCAAACCTTGGTTGCATGTTTAGCTCCCTGGTAGACTGTGAGTTCTATAAACAGATGTGCTTTATACACCTCTGACTCCCAGCAGCCAGCACTATGTCTGATACAGGCTGCAAAAAGTTCAATATTTGTTGAACAAATGAACAAGTAGATGGGTGGGAGGTGCGGTAGGGGGAGAAGTCATTGAAGGTGTCAGATGACAGGAACCAAGAGCGAACGCAAAAATAACGCAGTGTTTTTTCTTGACTTTATAGATGTTCCAGGGAAAAAGTTAAGCAGATGGGAAAATCTAACGTGGCACAGATGGAAATATAAGAGGGATTTTTAATGAAAATATTTATAGCTTGCTTTCCCCTCCAAATTACACTCCGCTAAGGAGCAGTAATAGGTCCAAGGTCAGTGACCAAGCTGGGTAGAACCTAAACCCAGCTCTGGCTGGGAGGAGTTTATATTCAGTTTTATGCAGTGGTCCAGAGGTTTATATGGTGGGTGGGGAAAGATAAGATGGCTAAAGTGATCTGAGTGCCTGGGAGGGGCAGGAATGTCCCAGGGAGGCTCACAAGAGAAGCTGAAAGATGGGTTCGGTGTGGGGGGACTTCATTCACAACTCTGCTTTAGGGCCTGCAAGAGCATCTAAGTGGAAGGAAAATGTAAGCTGGACGAGGAGACGCTGGGCACCATTGTTCCAGGATTCCAAAGCTGTGACAAACCCATTCCCAGCACACAGCACTGCAAACAGTTCTAGGCGAGGATCCAGTACAAGGGCCAAGGTTCAAACTGCATGAATCTGGGTAGTCTTGATTAGCTGGCATGTCTTCCTGCCATGAGAAAAACCTCACTCCTGAGGTCCCACAGCACCTGCAGCACGTCCTGCGTGTGTCAGGGTTTAATAAGCATCTAATGCAAACTGCCCTGGGCGAGGAGACAGGCTGGGCTGGAGGCTGTGATTCTCTGCCTTTGTCCTAGGCTTAGCACCCCTGAGGCCTGTGCTGACTTCCTCTGGTGTGCAGGGGCACTTTCATGACTCACCTTAATGAGGGAGGCTGTATAAACTTCCCATGGCCAAAGATCCCTTACTGACAGAGAAACTGAGGCACTGTGAAAGGGATGCAAACATCATACTCGAGGCTCCAGACTCTTCCTGCCTGTGGTCATTCACACATGTATCATTACAGAAACTCCTCCAGCCTCTCCCGATGCAGACAGAGAAGCCAAGACACAGCACACAGCATCTTTTATTTTCTCTCATAATCCCCTCAAAATTCGGATGCTTCTGGAATAGGAGTAATTATCTCCTAAATGTGACAAGTCATCCATTTGTTTACTTATTCACTTGGTGATGGTTTTCTGAGGGCTTGCTATGTTCCAGGGGCCATTCCAGAGCTACAGATACAGCAATGATCAGAACACAGAGCCTGCCCTTTGGAACTCATACTGTAGTAGGAGCCAGACAGCAGACAACACAGCAATCCATTGAGCTCCAGTACTGTTGGTGAGATGTACTACGAGAAAAAGAAAAACTAGCTCAGGGTAGAGGGGATTGGAAGGGTCAAGTGGGATATCGGGGTTACAGTCTTAAACAGCAACAGTGAGCAGCAAGGCCTCACTGAGGTCATGATGAAGAGGCAAGAGAAGGAAAGGGAGTCACCCCAATTTTCTTGGAAAACAGCTAGGGTAAAGGCCCCAGAGTGGGAGTGTCCAGGTGTGTTCAAGGGACAGGAAGGCCAGTGAGGCCTGGCAGATAGCCATCCACTCATTTGTTCATTCATTCATTCATTCATTCATTCATTCAGCTAAGATTCACTGACGACCCATCTCTTGGCCCAGCCCTCAGTGGTGAAAACTCCATAAGGCAGGGCCTAGCCCTGGAGGGACTTACAAAGCTGGGGAGTAGGGAATAAAAGAACCTAAGAAAAATGACAGATCCAGGCATGGTGGCACATGCCTGCACTTGGGAGGCTGAGGGAGGAAGACTGTGCACTCAAGTCTAGTCTGGGTTACATAGCAAGACTTGGCTCAAAAAAAAAAAAAAAAAAAAAAAAAAACCAAAAAGACAGACAGAAAGAGACAGAGACACAGAAAGTGAGAGTGAGAAAGAGGGTGGGAGGGGGAGAAGGAAAGAAGAAAAGAAGGAAGAGTGAATGGATGGATGGATGAATGAATGACAAAAGGCTCTAGCAGAGCTAGGTTTAGTTCCTTCGCCCAATTTTCGGGTCCAGCAAACATCCTCAGAAAGTAAGTCACTCAGCACTGACAGAACTGGCAGTACTGAATTGCTCACAACAACAAAAAGGCCTTCCAGACACTAAACTTGGAAAGAAAACTTTAAGTTCTAAGTGTACACTAGGTGTGTTTGCAGCGTTAGGCTACAGGCCTCTGTCAAGGAAAGTCTGGTGGACCAAACTGTGGGTGGAGAATTCAGCTTAATGAAAGGGTGCTTCTTCACAGCACAGAGTGGAATCCAAAGATGCCCAGCCAAGACCCAGGATGTTCCACACAATAAAGTTCAGCCCTACTCATCAAGAGTGGGATGGGACACCATGCAAGCCAGTCCACACTGGTTGGCTCTAGATTCGGATGAACTGATGAGGAGGTATTGGTGGGTATATCACCAGCAACAACCTCAAAGACCACAGAAGTGGGTGAGGAGAAAGCTGCCCGGAGAATTCTCCTAAGCAAGTCACAGGGAGAAATCTTCAGCAGCCCTAGCTGAAGGATTGGGAGAAATTCCCCATTGTGCCTGTGCCCCACTCAGACCCCAGGGCAAAACAGACTCCTGGGTCTGTGCCCCCAAAACTCCTCCCATGTCACCCATACTATCTTCCACCCTGGTTTACAATCCTCAAGACATCTTTAGCTCTGATGCTAAGATTCTGCCTGGCACACCTAAAAGGAAGGGTACCAACCTGCCACTTTGGCCTTAACCCTGATATAAATGAGCATCTTATCAGACCAAACCTGGGAAGGCCAGATCCTCTCTCCTGATCCCATTCCAAGGCTATCCTCCACTCTGGGGTCCAGAAATGACCCCAGGCTTGCCCACAGCTAGGGTTCAAAAGTGGTTCCTAGGTCAAACTGTACCTCAGCCAAGTAGTGGCTCTATGTATGGGAAAAACGTTGGGACCAGGTATAAAACAAGTAAAATTCCTAGAGGATGTGCCTCAAATTCCTTTCTAAAGAGCTTCCCTTTCTGCCTGCTCACCTCCTTCAGCCTAGGAAGGCTTTGCTCCATAATTGCCTTGTTTATGGCCACTCTGAAGGCTTCAGGGTAGAAGAGGTGGGAGGAAGGCTTTGTTTGGAGTAGAGAGGGGTGTGTGCCCTGAGCTTCAAGGCTGGGAAGTAAACCCTCTAAGTGCCTAGCTACCTGAGAGCCAGCCAAGTACACACGTGAGGGAAAAAAACAAAGGCAATGCAAGGCCAACTGAAGATTCCCAGCAAGCTTATGTTTGGAGCCTGGGAAAGAGAACAATAACCCAAACTTGATCTGCATGCTTCTGCTGAATAGTGAAAAGTGCTACTTGTCATTGGTCTGAGTCAGGAGCCAATTCTGCTTCTGTGGACTCCTCAAAACTCCAATCTCAGAGCAACTTACCAGGCCACTGGTGGGGGTGCAAGTACTCTAGCCTCTCCCCTAGGAATCACTGACCAGTAGAGCAAGTAGGTCCTCTAAACAGGACCTCCTGCTGAGCCACAAGCACATCCTTCACTTCTTCACTCTAGGGTTTTGTTTTGGTTTGGTTTTTTTTGTCTTTTTGAGACAGGTTCTCTCTGTAGCCCCAGCTGTCCTGGAACTCACTATGTAGACCAGGCTGGCCTTGAACTCACAGAGATCCCGAGTGCTGGGATTAAAGGCGTGTGCCACCACGCCTGGCCACTTCATCTTTTTTATTTTAATATTTTTTATTTATTATTTTATGTGTATGCATGTATTGCCTGCATGTAGGTAAGTGTACCCGTATCATGCAATGCCCAAGGAAGACAGAAGAGGCTGTCGGATCCCCTGGAACTGGAGTTATGGACAGTTGTTAGCTGCCAGGTGGGTGCTGGGATTTGAACCTGGGTCTTCTGCAAGAACAGTCAGTGTTCTTAACCGCTGAGCCATCTCTCCAGCCCATGTCACTCCATCTAAGACTCCCCTCAAATGTTTTCCGGGAGATCACTTCCCTAGCTCCCAGGCCTCTTCCTCACCTCACTCTCTAAAACTCCATCAGCCTGGTATTTGCCTCCTTACAGGCATTAGCCTTACTCTGTGTCCCTCTACCCCCTCCATACAAATAATGTGTGTCTTTTTTAGCTTTCATTCATTGGAAGCACAAAACACAGTACCTGGTAGAAAGCAAATGCTTAAGAACTGTTTCTACAGAGCCTGATAACATTCACCTCCAGGCAGAGGAAGTGATAGGCAGAGTCACACAAATGGAACAGTGAAATCAGTAGACACAAAACACCCAGGGGGACAAGAGGTGTCACAAGGAAATTGAACCAGGACACAGCATCTGTCCTTACCCTTCTTGAACTCCTCCAGCATAGCATCCAGCTTGGTGTCATGGAACACAAAGTGTACCGGGTGGTTGTAGAAGCGGGTGATGGTCTTGAGTGGGGTACAGTCATCAGGATCCACGAAGGCTAAGTCTTTGACGTAAAGTATATCTACGATGTTAGACTGCTCATCTTCAAACACAGGAATGCGAGTATAGCCACTCTCCATAATCTCCGACATGGTGTTGAAGTCTAGGATGGCATCGCTGCGGATCATGAAGCAGTCGTGCAGCTGGGTCATGACATCCTCCACAGTTTTGGTCCGCAGTTCCAGGGCACCCTGGATCATATTTAGCTCCTCTTTCACGAGGTCATTATAGGGCTCTGTCACCTTCAACATCTCCATCAGCTTCTCCCGATTGTAAACAGTGCGAATCTCCTGACCCAAGAAAAAGTCCAGGAGTTTGCTAATGGGGAAGCTCAAGGGGAAGGTGAGCAGCATAAAGAATTTGGTGAGAACAATAGTGTTGGCGCCCACGGCCAGTCCATGTCGGGAGCATAGGGCCTGAGGTAAGATCTCCCCAAAGATGACAATGCCAATGGTGGAGGAGGCCACTGCCATGAGGCCAGACCCGATGAGGTTGTCTAGAAGGATGGTGAGGGAGGTGTTGACCAGCACGTTCCCCAGGAGCAGCGAGCAAAGCAAGTAGTTGCCCTTGCGCCGAATGGGCTCTATCTTTCGGGCGTATCTCCTCTCCTTCTCAGTGCCACAGTTCTGCACGATGCGCAGCTCCATCGGGTCCAGGGCCATAAGTCCCAGGTTGAGGCCAGAAAATATGCCCGACAGTACAAGCAGCACCAAAAGCAAAAGAATGTGCAGCCAGAGGGGTAGGAACCTTCCATGATCCTCCACCATGAAGAGCAGGGAGTCCTTGTCGGGCCACTTGAGCCAGGGCCCGTCCGCCCGGGCCCGGGTGCACAGCGCGTACAGCTTCATGTTCTCGCTCCTCCGAAGGAACTTGGTAAGCACCACTAGCATCCCGGACGTGTTCCCGCGGCTCACGTTCACCAGCTGCTGGACGACCAAGTCCTTGGTGAGCTCCAGGCAGTTGGTGGAGTTGTGGACCGACTCGGCGTTGTCCACCTCGGTGAAGGAGATCAGGTTGCTGGAGATCTCGCCCAGGCTGTGACCATAAAGCCTCAAGTTCACGGTGCTGCCCTCGGACACGAAGATGATGCCATCCGGGTTCATTCCACACGACTTGTTGCAGCTCGCCAGCCTCATGCCCAGGATCACGCTCTGCTGGGGGCTGCTCTTGCCCCGGGCCCCCCGCGTCCACAGCAGCACCAACGCGGCCAGGAGGAGGCGCCCTCGGACCGGCCCGCCGCCCCTGCGTCCGCCCCCGCCCACCGGCGCCATGTTGCTCCTGCTCTGCTGCCGCTACCCGCGCCCCGCCGCGCGGCCCCGCTCGGCGCTGCCACTC